GAGTATACAATATTTTCGGGCAGCATTCTACATCTGGTGTATGCTGCTTTTAAGCTGTTTAGCATAATAATATTGTTAACAGTGCTCAGTTGTAGAAACTTAACAGGCAATACCCATCAAAGTTCCTTATCAGTTGTATTAACAAATGTCTCTGGCAGACTTCAAGCCTGTGATCATAATGGTAGAGACTGTGGCAATGTCTAAATAATCAAATAAGCCAATTCATAGTTAGAACTGCGCATGCTCGTATCAATGTCAATCGATATAAACACAATACAAACAAAATTGACCTTGACCTCAATTGACCTTGGATAGGAGCATGTGCAGTTCTAATTATGAATTGGCTTATTACTTGTGGGAATCATAGTGAATATCATTGTAAAAGACCCCAAGTGCTTGTTTAAATTCATCCAGCTCCAGTTCAAGCTTATGTATTCGTTCAAGTGTAGCAAACAACGCTTGTAGTTTGCTGTGCATTACACTTCCGTTGCGTTCATAGCATTGGAACATGTACAAATCAAGGGTTTTGCAAGACTCAGTCACCTGTATAAATGAAGAAAAATACTTAGAATTCTAACTTAAGATGATTTATATTATTTATCATAAAATAACTATTAACTTATTCTAAGTACTCAAAAGATTATAGAAATTGGAAATGTCCAATTTTGATATACCCTGTAGTACTATAGTGGATATGCTGGTAATTGAAAGTATTGTACATGTAATCAGTCAATCCCCAACTGACTGACTAAACACCAATCAACTAAATTTTATGTTTTAATCGACAACTCTGAGTGCATAAAGTGCATACACTTACTTTCTCCAACAGATCTTTCTTAAAGTCAACAATGAGAGTGGCATCTGACTTTCTTTTTACATTGATGTTATTAATCAACTGCTGGGCTAGTTCTTGTATTTCTTCTCGCTTGGACATTGATCCTAATTTCATAGGATTTTGATCCAACCTTGGCTGTGTTGCAGACTCTAAAGGGGTGCTAAATCGAAAGAGTACACTTGTTACTAATTTTCATTATTAACTAAAAGAATAATATTGTGATCATTATAGAATCTTAATCCAAATACATTTATAATTCTTACTTCTGCTGAAATGAAGTAGGTCCATCACCGGTAGATGGTTCCAATTCCGAATTAGGTAAACCGGTATCCATATTAGGTAAACCAGTGTCCAAATGAGGTAACCCACGGTTCTGAACAGTCGCTTCAATTTCCATGGACATCTAAATGAGCAACAACAACCAAATGGCAAAGATGTAGATACTGCATGCTAATTTATTATATTCCGCTTCGTTTTCAAGAATAATTGTTTCCAATCTCACAAATATCATCATATTTTATCATCCATATTTTGTGCTTACAAAGATTCTTCCAGTTTTATTCTACTTATGCATGTAGTATAAGGGTAAATCTCATCTCATGATTCTTACGCTTGCAGTCTTTACTGACCAGACACCTACCTTGTAATCATGATCCGGTGTGCTTTGCAGCACTCACATCCACATCTCTCGCACCACTTAAGGAGAGGAGATGTTGTCCCCATGCAAAATATTGAAAGATAATGTACTATTTGATGTTTTCCTAGTATTCTATTGCAAAAAAAGTCAATACAATAATATAATAAGGTCCCCTAGTACGCCTAGGCCTACTTGGTCAATTTTCAGACCTGTCAAGTCTCGCGCAACTCACAGGAGCCCATGAATTTAACTTTGACCTCACGCCCCCCAGTAGCATCTAGGCCTATGCTTAGGGCCTAGGCTAGGCCAGGTCTGTAGGAATAAGCAGTCAGATAGATATCACGTCACAGCGGTCGATCAGTTGTGGCTGGCCTAGACCTAGACTAGATATAGAGGGGCCTATCCCCAGCAGGGGCCGCAAAATACAGGGATATTATAAATGAATGTGAATAATAATTAAACTTACTGTGTGATGCAGAAACACAATCTGTAGAATCTCAGAGCTAGGCCTTAATCCCCAGTGTTCTCAACCAAAACTTTGAGCCAATCCCAAAATCCTGCCATACCTGTCAATAGATGGCGCTAGGCTAGTTTACAGCGCCTCATCATCAGGAGGCTTTGCCCTTTGTTTTAGTTCCACTGATCTCTCCTCTCTGGTTTTCCAT